CTTGATCACTTTGAAAATTCTTGTGGACACTCGAGAGGCTAAAGTTATTATCCGATTGACTTTAAATTTATACACAGTGTTTAAGATCCTGAGACGAACAAGTATATTGATTTTCAAGAATCTTTATGACTTTATAAAAACCAAATAAATTCTAATGGTTTTCTGATAATTACTTAATGAGTTGTTACTCTTAATCAGATTTTAATGTATTATAAATGTTTCATTACCGAAAAAAGTAAAATTATGTGACAACTCTTGTTGACTGCCCGGACGATATAGCTGCTGTGGGCGTATGTTTCGTTGCCTGGCAACCTAACTTTATAAAAATGAAATGGGGTTTACGCCATACAGGAGCCAAAAGGTGTCTTAGTGGGTAAGACGCTGTCTCGCTATACATGATATACATGTAACTCTATGGCCTACTCTAACATGTATATCGAATTCCAACTGCCAAGGGATCTTTTACATGCACGCTAATGTATACACAGGATGTTGATTTTCGTCCCATCTGAACAACGAGACAGCGGTTCTTGCCAGTTCATCCGTCCTGCACCACTGACAAGGGGAAACCAGGTCGGAAAATCACGATGAACTTTCTCAGCGAATGCAGGGATTGAACATGCGACCTCCGCGCTAGCGAGCCAGCGTCTTACCCACTTAGCCACTGTGGCTCCCAGTTTTATTAAAGAAAATCATAACTTTATATATTTTTTAAAACATATATTTTGAATGATTTTATTGCAAGGTTTTGATACACCCACATTAAAATGTGGTCGTATATTGTCGTCGGTCCGGCGTCCACAATTGCGACAAACCTTGTTGACTGCCCAGGCGACTTAGCTGTTGTGGGCATATGTTTCGTTGCCTGGCAACCAATCTTCAGTTTTTTTTTATTGTTATTTTAGTGGCATGCGTTAAATGAATCACAACAATCCAAGTATTATAAGATGGCAAAAGAAGAAAAAGAATTACATTCACAGTTATATCCCGGTTGGACGGCTAAATCTAATTACGCCAAGGCAATAAACAAGCAGAAAAAAACAAATCCAAAAAATAAAGGTCAAGGTAATGTATGATTCGGAAAAATTCCGAACTTTGATATATTCTTTTCCTGGAACCGGCCGCAGTGACTGGTTGAGTAAGGTGCGGTTCTATCCTAATGAGGGGTTGTGTGGCCGAATGGTTAACACATGTGCGTTGCTTCATAAGGTCTGTCATAGAGTCAAGAATCCTATTGATAATTGCTGTCAGAGTTATGACACTTAATATAAATTGTTTATGAGTAAAACAATTAAAACAAATTCTAATAATTTGATTGGTTACTTAAAGATACATTATGGGAGATTCGATAACGAGTTGGCAGTTCTCACTATAATAATTAAAAACTAAATTTGCTGAAAATTGATCCACTATGAACCGAGAACTAAGCGAATAAAATTTCTGCCTAGCCTCGGTCATCATTACTAAAGTCAGTACGTTAAACAGCATAGTCTCGATTATCCATTTAATCGTTTAATCGAGAAGGAAAGTTATGCAGTAAATCTGATCACAATCCAATTAAGATCGCAGGCTAGCGATGCCATCTAGAGTTGATAAAGGTCTGGATAAGTTAATTAATGTCTAATTAATAAATTAGATAACATTTTAGATCTAAAGAAAAACCTGCAATAGGCAGATTTAGCTCTTGCATAATGTATGTTTAATGGGTTATTACTCGTAATCAGATTTTCATGTGTTGTAAATGTTCTCATTACTGACAAAAAAAAATGCTACAGCCCTTGTTGACTGCCTGGACGGCTTACCTGCTGTGGGTATATGTTTTGTTGCCTGGCAACCTATATTTTATATTTACATAAAATTTGTTTCATTTCAGAATCTCCGATTGCCAAAAAGAGTCGAACTCCGATTGGCAAGGTCCAAAAGACAAAATCGCTTAAATCTCGCAAGTAGGTGTAGTATAATAAGCAGAATATTGACCTTTGGTCTCAAATTATGAATATCCAAATGAAATGGGGTTAAAGGTCCTACCGTTCTGCACCAACTAAACTAATGATGATGGGCAAGTGTCCCCTGGGTCTGTTAGTGATACAGACTTCACTGAAAATGAAAACAAACAAACAAGGGAGGCAATCGAAGAAATAAAGGGTAATTTTTCCCAACTAGGCTAATGACGATGGGCAAGTGTCCACTGGGCCTGTAGTAAGGCTTCAATCAAAATGAAAGCAAACAAACAAGGGAGGCAATCAAAGAAATAAAGGGGAATATTTCCCATACAGAGATTAATCATACTGTAACGTAACCATAAAATAACTGGATTGTTTTTATACACCCACATGGAAATGTTGCCGTTGCGTCCGTCCGTCTGTTGGTCCATCCGTTGTTCACAATTTCTTGTGAACGCTCTAACGCCAAAAGTTATCATCTGATTGTTTTAAAATTGATATATGTTGTTTACATTAGTGAGATGAAGAATCCTATTTAATTTCTGTTAATTCTAGAGTTATGGCCCTTGTTTCTAACATCAAAAGTTATCTGCAGATCTGTATGAAATTTATATGCATCATATAGATTAGTATAAAGGAGAATCCTATTGAATTTCAGCAATTTTCGTTAATTACATCTAGAGTTATGGCCCTTGTTTCACTTTGTTGAACCTTGTGAACTATCCCGGTTGGTTCAGAACAGTAAGACGTTAAACCCACCCAAAATTAGTGATAACCGCCCCCCTTTAAAAACTGTTGGACACATGTCTCTTGATCTAAGCAGAGATGTTTGTTGGCTGATTATTGAGCCAACTGGCGTGGTTTCGATTCCCGGGTTGTACGTGACAAGGAGTAGGGTCACCTGTCCAATGTCGTCGGGTTTCTCCGGGTTCTCCTGTTTCCTCCCACTGCTAAAGACCCCTATGTGCAAGCGAATTATTGAAATAAAATTGAACCACGAGTAAGTTCCAAAATGACCTAGTTTGCGTCGAGTGGATTTTAAACCTCATTCTCTCCCTCTCTCTCTGACTCAATGACAGACCTTACACTATAAAGTGTACATATTTGACTCCTAGACCGGGGAGTTGGGATGGTCTAGTGGTCTAGAGTGCAGCGCTTCGACCTCTGACTTGTGGTTGTGGTTTCAATCCCTGGTGTGAGTGGAATGTGACTTGTAGATAGGGGCGTTTACTCAACCTAGTGGGTTTACTCCAGTTTCCTCCCACAGGAAAGACCCCTGCGTGTGCGCTAAGATATTAAAAATGAAAAAATAAGACAACTTGTCTGCGATATCACCTTCAGTGGAAGCGGATGTTAAACACAAAGAACAACAACTGCTAGACCCCCCACCCCACCCCTTGTATGTAGAACGGTAGTAGAATTGTGATCAGATAACGTATTTTGTATATTATTCTTGTTTTAGGACCAAGAAGAAATGAATATAAACCGTTTGTTTTGCACCACAAGGATGAAAGAAGCAGTAATACACATGAAGACAGTTATAGTGAATTTTGTGATCCTGATCAGGATAATGTTTTAAAGACTGACGGTCCTAGACCTTCCTCCCACGCAGATCATTCTGACACCAGTCACGACTCGGAAGAACTTGCGCCAATAGTTGGCTATTTTAACCGTTTATTAGAGAAATGGAATTTGGTGACAATCTGTGATTTCTGTAAACATTTTAGTGCAAATAGATCATTGGAGAAATTAAGGGCACGCGATCACGTTGTGATGTATATGTACAATAAAAACTATCAACTTGTATCTTGTCTATTGTTTGTCTCTGGGAGATAGTTCGTGTGGCCCCCAGTTCACAAAGCATTCTCAGACTTAAAGGAGCTAAATCGCGAATATTTTGGACCTAGAAATTGTCACAAATGGGTCGCAACGTATATAATAATGTAATATGAATGTAAATAAACTGATTTACATTCAATCGTTTCCGTTTTTACTCTAATTTCCAAGCAGTTATGTTCAGCGAAATGCGCCAGAAGTCTCAATCGAATGGCAATCTCTAGCGACTGGTTATTCCAGTTTACACCGATAGTATTTATTGCGCATGCTCTCCAGATAAGAATATGGGGGTCACCGTTTGACATGACTTGTGGAATATGTCTAACCTCGTTCCGTGGGTCGCTTGTTACAAATTGCGCTGAAACGCATTATGGTACACGATTCGTGTACCAATCGTAAAAAGTTTATTTTGTCTTAAATATTGGATATCAGAAGCCCATCTTTTCCCGGGAAGATCACAACACCAATGTTGATTAAAATTGACAAATAATTCGTGTTTTCAATGTCGAAGGTTTTGGATGATACTTAGTTAGAGACCTAGCTACTTTATGTTAAGAATTTACTCAAAATTGTTCACCTTATTTTAACTAAAATATAGCCCTTTATAAAACTTTTGTTGTTTTTTAATATATTAAATACATCAATAAGAAACTATACAAAGTTTTGTGTTTCTGGATCAAAGATATTTCTCATAAACTGTGATTGAAAATTGAGTAAATTCTTAACTTAAGTCTGAGAATGTTTTGTGAACTTGGGGCTAGGAATTCCTACAAAGATTTTACGGAGGACTCAACGCCGGATAAAAAGCTAGTAAGTTTATAAAAATGGGTTCAAAAGGATTACAAATATAATGATTCGAATTCTACTTATTATAAACAAGGCTTGGCCTTTATTACACCATCTCCGTCCCGAATTCCAAGACAACGGGGTTTAAAGTCCTACTGTTCTGTTCCGACTGGGCTAATGAAGACGGGCATATAATATACTATGAGGGAAATTGTGCCCAGACACTGCTACGACCTAGTCTTATATCAATTTATCAATTTCCAACTGCCAAGGGATCTTTTATGTGCAGGCCAGTGTGTACACGGGACCTCGGGTTTCCATCGATCCGAACGACTAGACAACTGTACTTGTCAGACCGTTTGTCCTGCATCACTGACAAGGGGAAACCACGCAGGTGTATCAAAATGGCAACTCACTTTACTAAAACCAGAAATCAAGAGTTATTGAGTGAGTTTATTGTATAATCTTTATAGAAAGTATTCGTCATATATACACAAGATATTGGATAATATTTCTTCTAGTGACAAACACCTGCAAAAGATGAAAAAATACAATGGCATAAAAGAGGTGTGTCAGTCAAAGGAGATAAATCTTCAGCGCTGCTTTATCTGCACGGGACCTCGGTTTTTCGTCCCACACAAACGACTAAACGCTGTTCTTTGCCAGACCCCCAACTTTCACCACTGACAAGGGAAAACCACCCTTAAGAATCCCAAACTCCCGTCTCTGGGTAGAACCCAGGGTTTCCTGGTTAATGAGCCGGTGCCTTGCCCACAGAGCCAACTTGACTCCAGTCTGTTACAGTAACTAGTCAGCTATGAAATCGTCCTCCAGTAGGAAGTAGTTAGTTCAACAAGGTTATATGTTCGGACCATGTATTTAAAGGCTCAATACCACTCTTGTTGTAACTGAATAATATGTCCCAATCTTTATTCTGGTCAACAAATTGTACTATTTTACAATATTTCAATTAATTGATGATACAAATTTCATCTTAACACTTATTTAAAAAATTTGAAAAATTCAACATAATGGTTTGAAACGTCTAACGTAAACCTTTTCAAATGAAACTTTGATTTAAAAATATTTTCGAACCCTCTGGACAAGTAAAATAGGATGTAATGGATAATTTACACAACAGGTAGGACACTTAAACATCTAGTACTTAGATAGAGATATTATTTATTTTCTGGAGCTTTCAAGCCAGCAAGAGTGTTATTGTCCCTTTAAGTATTCGAATATTCGGCATAAATTGAATTTGGTCTATCTTAGCTAGTTTCTAAAAGGAATAACTATTTAAGTAGTAGGGACTCTTGATTAGGGATATATAGGTACTCTGAAATAGCATTACAATCATAGATAAATGGCTTCACTAGTTGGTTGACCCTGTTCCTGAAGCAAAGATCGACCGCGAGTTTTTCATCTTAATAGTTAATGCAGGGACAACACTATAAGATGTCCAATGAAAAAAATATATTTACCCATTTCTCCTAAGGGTATGTCAAAAACATGGCTGCTCTTGCAAGTAAACCCTGAAGCACATGGACACTGGAAGACCATATTGTCTGGTCGAGTTGATCCCATCTTCACCAAACAACCTGTTAACACCGTATACAATCTGGTTAAAACACAGGTCCTATTTCGTTTCGTTTTTTATAGTTCAAAATGTCGTTTTACTTGTCTTTACTACACTAGGATCTGGAAGAGTTCTGGATGATGTGAGAGATTATCCAATGAAACGGTAAGTTGCAACGAGTTCTTGGCGTGCGATGCACGGAACTGTGGGTATCCTACTAGAAACATCAATGTTGATTGGTTAATCAAATGTCTGACATCATAGGGTCAAAACCTGCTCGTATGACCCCTGACGCGACGTCCCATTCCAACTGGTCAGATCTTCATGTAGTAGATGCCATCGAAAGTATAAAAAAACGAAACGAAATATAGATCTGTATTTTAATCAGATTGGTTATTATATAAATGAATGTGCTATTACCGCCATGATGCGCTGTTTATTGCCAGGCCCTCCACCCTGCACCACTGACAAGAGATAACCCCGCCCCGGATATTCCAGAGAAAATTTGTCGGCCAATACCGGGATCGAACACGGGACCTCCAGATTAAATGTCTTACTTAGTCACGCAGCTCCATGGCACAATCATGCCTTTTGAGATATATCGTTGGCCAGCACGTGCAACTTCAAGACAACAAGTTTTAAAAATCTCGAGATAGAGAGATGAGAGAGAGAGAGAGGGAGAGAGAGAGTAATGGGGTTTAACGTCCACTCGACACAAATTAGGTCATTTCGGGACTAACATATGGTTCAATTTTATTTCAATAATTTGCTTGCGCGTATGGGTCTTTAGCAGTGGGAGGAAACCGGAGGACGCGGAGAAAACCCACGAAGTTGGACAGGCGACCCTACTCCTTGTCACGTACAACCGGGGATTCGAAACCACGCTAGTTGACTCAATGACAGACTTTATGATACAGCACGCACGTGCTAACCATTCAGCCATCCAACCCCCCTAAAAATCTTGAAGTTGCTTCTCAATCACGGACCCAGAAACCAGAACATTCTAGTAAAGAGGCTAGTACCCTATTCCGCAGGTACCTCTGTCACGTACATACTTGGAATCGTCAGTGACAACCCCTTCACGTGCGGATGGCACTCGTAACAACTTGTAGTTAAAAGGCAAAGCTGACCATTTTGCACAACTTGGATTCTTGTAAAATCTATTGTGTATATCTAAATTTCTAAAATAAATTAAAGATGATTTATGTAAAATTTTGATAAACAGCTGGACGTTCTAATCCATGTAAATCTCTGCCATCCGATGTTCTAGAGAGTTGATTATGGGCTTATCATGTTAATGTCTAAATAGTAATCTATAAAACATTTGGAACCAAAATAAAGATCCGCAGTGGGCAGATTTAGAGAGAGGGAGGGTTTAACGTCCATTCGACACAACTAAGTTATTTCAGAGAGAGAGAGAGAGAGAGGGGGAGAGCTGCAATGGGCAGATTTAGCTCTTACATAATGCATCTTTAACAAACAACAACAAACAACCAAATACCTTTTTCAGCTGTACCGAGTTTCTGACAAACACCAGATGCAAGTCGTTTTCCCAGTGGCCGTATTCTAGACGTACAACATTCGTCATCACCACATTCTTTTCCACTAGTGCATGGTTTGTCAGCATCTGGTTTTGTAACTTTCTGTGTAGAAGACATTCTACATTCACCTTATAATAAAATATATAACAGTAACATGGTAACGATGCAATGGCGTTCATAATTGGTAAAATGAACAGGATTGCGCATCATAATTGGTAAAATGAACAGGACGACGTCCCATAATTGGTCAAATGAACAGGGCGACGTCCCATAATTGGTCAAATGAACAGGACGACGTCCCATAATTGGTCAAATGAACAGGACGACGTCCCATAATTGGTCAAATGAACAGGACGACGTCACATAATTGGTCAAATGAACAGAGTGGCTCCCTTAGTTGGTAAAATGAACGGGATGACACCCCATAATTAGTCAAATGAACAGAGTGGCGCCCTTATTTGGTAAAATGAACGGGATGAAACCCCATAAATTAACGATGTAATGACGCCCATAATTTGTAAAATGAACGGGTGTGACACTATCCTGGTCACATGGTACGTCTCTTTACGAACACCGTATAATGGTCTCCATCCCAGCCTCGAGTGGCTGTGGGTACGTCCTTCCGAGAACACCGCATGATGTCTACAAGAACCTTAATCGCGCTGGTCTAATTTATATAAAAAGTTTTGGTACGTCAGTTATTGGGGCGGACCATTACCATATTTGGGTAAGTGTTCTATTTGGGCACCCATTTACGTCAACCTTATTTTATAGAATTGGGCTAATCTGTACTATACCAGATGACCGGAGGACTATTGTCTGCTCATTAACGTAATAGTATGTCATTGACCGATTTTAATCTGCAAGGTACTTAATTAACCCAAATCTACCTATCACGCATTTGTAGGTAACCACTTCAAATGCAATACATTAAACAGAACACCATTCAAAGAACTTAAATAACCTCTATAGATATAGTATTACACGGGGTGGCGCCCTATAATAGGTAAAATGAAAGAGATGAAAAAACTGGCTCTAGATCTTCAACCCTTTGTTGGTTTCACCCTTTCTCTACCCTTATTTTAATTCACTTGGACGCCCTTGTATTTTGGGACTAACATATTGTACACCCGTATTACAGTCCTTTGCTAAGACCAATCGGCCACCCTTGTACATGTACTAGATATGAAGCGATTGAATTTGTTTACCTAAGTAACCTTGTGGTATGTCTCTTACACCTAGATTGTGGCAGTCCAAACCAGCTGAACAGGGACACTTGTTGGCAAATCTACCATCTTTGGAAAAGGGGTTGTCAACATAGCACTCTGATAGAAAAAGACAAAACATAAAAACGTGTTAATTTGAAATTGGGAAAATCCAGAATATTTTTTTCACCGGGGTGTTGTCTTTTAAACAGGGTCAAAAATCCATTTTCTACTTAACGATGCCTTTCAATGTATAAATCGAACGATTTGGTACTATATTTGGACTTAGAACATATTCATAGTAATTTATCTATCAAACGTTTGTTTCAAATCACTCTCAAAACTTTTTAATTGGAAGAAAACTACGCCGAGCTTGCATGAAGGGAGGGACCATTTTCAGCAAGTACCGTTTTGTCGTTATTGGCTGTCCATTTACCATAAATATCGAAGCCTAAGTAAATTCTTGGATTATCCTCTGTCAACTTCTTTTCCAACGGATTTGATTGACAGGTCTGCGGTACGTTTACGTCTCTCAGTGTTCTCACAAACTCTAGCCATTCGATCAACAAAACAAAGCGCACCATTCGATCAACAAAACAAAGCGCACCATTCGATCAACAAAACAAAGCGCACCATTCGATAACCAAACAAAGCGCACCATTTGATCAACAAAACAAAGTGCACCATTCGATCAACAAAACAAAGCGCATCATTCGATCAACAACACAAAGCGCACCATTCGATCAACAAAACAAAGCGCACCATTCGATCAACAAAACAAAGCGCACCATTCGATCAACAAAACAAAGCGCACCATTCGATCAACAAAACAAAGCGCACCATTCGATCAACAAAACAAAGCGCACCATTCGATCAACAAAACAAAGCGCACCATTCGATCAACAAAACAAAGCGCACCATTCGATCAACAAAACAAAGCACGCCATTTGATCAACAAAACAAAGCGCACCATTTGATCAACAAAACAAAGCGCACCATTCGATCAACAAAACAAAGCGCACCATTCGATCAACAACAGACTGGCAGTTAGTGACGGCTAAATCTATTTGTTAAGGCCAGCTCAATTTTCGTCAAGGTCGCTGATATGTAAATAAGGTTAGGACATGTGATTGTTAGCGAGGTTAGGGTTAGGGTAAGCATTAGAGCTAGGTCCAGGGTTAGGGTGGGTATTGGGATTAGCGCTAGCCCTGTTTACATCTTGTGACCTTTGACCAAACTTGAAGTTGCCCTTATCAAATAGATCTAACCAGTAGTGACCCCCTCACATTTTGTACTGTGTGCGCCTCCTTGTTTTTTTGCCTGGAATCCAGTATTGTTCTAGTTAGATTGGGTGTCTCATGTCCATCATATTGTCAGAAATGCAAATGACGATCAACGGCTTTATCTATTGATAGGATCCTAACATCTGTAACAAGTAGATCACAAAATCTATAAATAGAATAACCTACTTTCTTTTTCGGCACCTCTAGGTGAACAATAACCACTGGATGTTTGTCTTTTACCCTTCAGTGGGATGATCATTAGACAACATTCATCAGCATTACAGTCCCCTGATGTCTTACAGGGTTGTGAAATTAACGCCTCCGTATTTAAAATACATACCGCCTACAAATTATGAAATATTTATTTTTAAATTTTGTTATTTCATTATTAATGTTATCAAAATGTTGATATGCTAATTACTGACCGAGTTTTTGGTTTTCGATGGACTTCTCAGGTTACAATATTCCTTAATAATTTTGCCCCTTCCTTAATTGATTGCTAAATGTACCGTCCCCCATCGCTCGCCTGTGTGTTTCCATTATCAAACAAAACTAAATTCTCCGCCCATGTGTTTCTAATATCAAACAAACCTAAATCCCGCCTCCACCCATGTGTTTCTAATATCAGACAAACCTAAATTCCGCCTCCAGCCATGTGTTTCTAGTATCAGACAAACCTAAATCCAGCCCCCACCCATCTGTTTCTAATATCAGACAGACCTAAATCCGGTCTCCGTCCATGTGTTTCTAATAGACAAACCTAAATCCGTTCGCCGCTCGTGTGTTTCCAATATCAAACAAACCTAAATGCAATATCAGACAAACTTAAATTCGGTCGCCGCCCGTGTGTTTCTAATATCAGACAAAACTAAATACCGTCTGCACACACGTGTTTCCAATATCAAACAACTCTAAATGCAATCTACGCCCGTGTGTTTCTCAGACAAACCTAAATCCCGCCCACAGAACAACAAACACGTTAGAGAGAGAGAGTTTAACGTCTACTCGACACAAACTAGGTCATTTGGTGACTAACATATGGTCCAATTTTATTTCAATAATTCGCTTGCGCATATGGGTCTTTAGCAGTGGGAGGAATCCGGAGGACCCGGAGAAAACCCACGAGGTTGGACAGGCGACCCTACTCCTTGTCACGTACAACCGGGAAATCGAAACCCCGTCAGTTGACTCAATGACAGACCGTATGATACAGCGCGCGCGTGCTAACCATTCGGCCATCCACCACCCCCCCCCACCCCCCTATGGGGAAAAGAAATATGTCACACTCACCAATGTTAAGAAGAGAAACATGTTGTCGTTTAAAAAATAAAATGATTCTACTTGAGTTCGTGTTTCTGGTCAAATAAGGTGCAGGTTTTCACAAAGATAATATTCCTTATCTGTGTTTTACTTATCACTGTTTTAGGTCAAATAAACTTAAACAATTTATTCATTACTTATTGGTTCAGGATTCTAAATTAATGGGATTGGTTCGACGAATTTGGACGTTTGCGGAGCAAATACATTGTGATATGAGGGAAATTTTGCCTGGACAGTGGTGCTATGGCCTATTTTAGTATTATTAATGTGCACACGGAACCTCGTTTTTTTGTACCATCCGAACGACTACACCACAGACAAGGGGCAACATTCTCGGCCCACAGCGGGATCGAACATAGGACTTCGTGTTAGCAAGCCAACGTCTTACTCGCATAGCCACCGTGGTTCCGTGCCAACAGAGAACTAACTACATCGAGAATAGATCGCCGTGTCCTGAATAGCCGCCATATTGAAAAATTAGATTAGGATGCTATTTTGTTACGTAATTCAAATCCGTTAAATATCTTTCATTTAATTTCATTATAAATGAAAATTGTAGCGAAATAAATTCCTTAAGTGTTTTCAACTAAAATAACGATGGAGGAATTAAAATGTTGATCATTCTTTGGTGTTGCTGGCAACATTGTTAAAATCATTCTGCACACAGAGAACTACTGTCTACTCTACTTCGAGAATAGATCTCTGTCTTAAATGGCCGCCATATCCAACTATTAGTATACTGTTTTGTGTGAGAGAGAGAGAGAGAGAGAGAGAGAGAGAGAGATGGGGTTTAACGTCTAATCGACACAAACTAGGTCATTTCGGGACTAACATATGGTTTAATTTTATTTCCATAATTCGCTTGCGCGTAGGGTTCTTTAGCAGTGGGAGGAAACCGGAGGACTCGGAGAAAACCCACGAGGTTGGACAGGCGAATACTGTTTTGTAATGCGTTCCTACTCCAGTTCACATCTGTTATACACAAAAAGACTAATTCAACCTTTTTAATTATTCTATTAAATGAGTGCAGAATATGTACTTCTCAAAATTCTCGAAGTATAAACATCGTCGATTTAGGAAATAAAATGTCGGCCAACTAGCTTAGTGCCTGTTCTCAAGTGGGGCTAACTGTAGACAGAAAGCTAAGTTTAATATGGGTTAAAAAGATGGATATAAGAGAAGCTCGAATTAGGACTTAAATATTGGTCAATAAGCTTCGTTTCTGTAGTCAATCGGAGCTAATTCTAGACATACAGCGCAGGTTTCGTATGGTCGTGATAGTACAGCATTCGTCATTTACCCCCGCCCTCCCCTCCTACCTCAAGCCATGTCTCCGTTAAAGAATCAAATCGGACCTCAAAATAAAAGTAAAATACTAAAAATAGATAAACAAATGATTTTATTGTTTCAACAAATATTCTGTATTTCAACAATATAACTTCTTTATTTCATAATATCATAACGTTGTATTATTTATTACATAATATCATGGCATTGTATTATTCATGTTATAAAGATTTGAATTAAAACATTAATTAACATCATATCTTTATTTTTGGCATTATACTCTTATAAAAGATGTTTTAGTATGCTAAAACAATTTTATATTGTTATAAAATATATTTCATGCTAAAACAATTTTATATTGTTATAAAATATATTTCATGCTAAAACAATTTTTAATTGTCACAAAATTTATTTATTCTAAAACAATTTTAAATTGTTATAAAATTGTGTAAATTCATATAAAAAGTGTGAAGAAATAAAATGGGGTGGACGTTAAACTAACTAACTAACTATCCCCCGGTTTCCTCTCACTGCTCGAAATAACCTAGTTCGTGTCGAGTGGACGTTAAACTAACTAACTCTCACTCTCACATTACTATTTTAACACTTGGTGCGGTCATATCTATTTGCTCTCGATTAAATTTTTTACCATGAACATCGAGGCCGATATTTTGTTTTATGTTCAAATATTGTTGTATGACCATCTTCAATAAAAGTCTTGATGTCGCTTTAACTCGGTAAATCGTACGGTCGTTGCTTCAGGAACACGGTGAATGACTAGACGTCAACAGGTTCATTCTGGTTCACTCTGAATCTATCTGGTTCTCTCTGGTTCTAGCTGGTTTTAAAGCTGGATATTAATACACCTATACAAACAGCAGCAGACGTTATAGCACCAGTCCTGAAATAAATCATATTAAATAAGGATTAAAGGTACATTATGCTAGATTTAGATAAAAAAAAAGCTGGACGTTCTTGCTATAAAAAAAATAGTTCTATAATGGACAAAGTGAAAAATGATCAGTCAAATTAGCCTACTTTACTCTAAGCGGAATTATGACTGTTTGGAGATATATAGAGTAGATCGTTCATTATCATAGTAACGATATGTGATAACCGAGACTTAGTCTCGATTGTCCATTTTTTCGTTACATATTTAAATCTCGCGGGTGTTTAAATCCTAGTTAGTGAGCAAGCGAACGAAATATACTTAGTGTTTTCGACTAAAATCGTCGATTTAGAACTTAAAATATCGGCCAACTAGCTAATTGTGTTTTCACAAGTGCAGCTATTGAAGGCAGACGCGCGTAAGTTAAGTATGGACGTTAGTCATTTTAAATTTTGCGGAGAAAACAAACGAAAGACCCCTTGGCAGTTTGAATTCGATATAAGAGTAGGCCGTAGCGCCGTTGTCCGGGCACAATATCCCTCATAGCACACTGTATGGCGTATACCCGTCTTCATTAGCCCAGTTCGGAGCAGAACAGTAGGACGTTAAACCCCATTTGATTTCATTTGCGCGGTTTGATGACGAGAAAATGTATGACATATAATTACCAGAGTAAAATTGTAACTATCGGTGAATGTTTCCAAACATTATATTTTCTAACATAAATTCTACCATGTCTTCTAAATGATTTTAAAATATCTTTAGCACTGAAAACAAGTCAACAATTTGAATTCGACAATATTCTTTTCTCAAGTAATTTCATTTCATATATTTGGAGCATGCACAGTGGCGGGCAAATCGGCACGGGGAGGGGGGGGGGGGCATTTTATAGGGCCACTACTTAATGTCTATTGCAATGAAAAAGGGGGTTGTTTTTCTGTCAGGTCCCGCTCCATGAATGTCCAGTGTGTGTTATTTTTCGGGGCCGGGGGCCGGGGACGAAAGGGCCGCCTGGTGTGATACAAAGTAAAGCCGTTAATGATATATGGAAGGCGCTTTAAATTTCACAATTAAAAGGCCGAAGTTAAGTTTTGCCCCCGACCCAAACGACCAAACGCAATTTAATGTAGACTATATAAAATTCATATTAAAATGTTTGCTTGATGTATAATATTTCTAAATAAAATAACTAGTAATAACGTTGAATGCATAGTGAGTAAATGGAACTGGATACATAAAATCTTCCGCCCCAAAATAGTTCGGCCCGCCACTATGCTGCGGCTGCCTATCCAACAGAATGAGTCATATCGAGATAATTTGGTTTAATACACGGCTCAAGTTATTTGTTAAGGCCATCTCAATTTTCGTCAAGGTCGCGGAGATGTAAATAAGGTTAGGGCACGTGATTGTTGGCGTGATTGTAGGAGGGGGTGGGGGTCAAGGGTTAGCCCTGTTTACATCTCGTGACCTTTGACAAGACCTGAAGTTGGCCTTATCAAATAGATCTAACCTTTAATACACCCCATCAATTATCATACTATTTCGGTTAACCATCCATATGGAATTAAAACAGTTCTCTGTTCTTTCTAAACATGATACCATAATCAGGATAATAAACAGACAGATTTATGGATAACATTGACTAGGTTTATTAACCGCAACGTTTCAATGAGGATACTCTCACCGTTATCAAGCAATGATACAATCAAACATGTTACAGTTAATAAACCTAGCGAATGTTATCCATAAAGTTGTCTGTTTATTATATATCGCTTTCACTAAATACCTTTCAAAGACATAATGAGGATACCAATAATTAAAGAACTCATTAAAGTAAATAAGGGAGGGGTACAACGGGACAACTTGTCACCTCACAACTCATTCCCGGACAATTCGTCCCTTAGGATTATCTGTCCTCAGATAATTCGTCCCAAGACCAGTTTTCCGGGGAATTGTTCAGGGACGAATTATCCTGGAGCCATAAGGGAGATAATAATATATCTTCAGTCAAGGACTAAATATATTTGTTTATAAAAATAAAAGTTAAATGTAGGTCTACAGTAAATGTCAGGTGACCATCATTTCATCATTAGATTATAAAATAGTAATTCGAGGTATTCCTTAAAATTCCTTTAAAGTAGTTAATCAATTCAATTAATTTACATTGACATCTTACCATCCATGGTTTCCAGTAGCAACCAACCCTCGGTTATTTCCCTGTAATTTAACGTCCACCTTGCCATACGGTGAAAACCATTTCGCCAACTTAAATTTTAAAAAGTCAACACAATTGAAATAATAAATAACTAACTCACATGTCTATTAAAGTACATTTTTTTAAAACCAGAATCTGTGCAATAAGTCGATATTGTAATTTCTTGATGTTAATTAACAGAATCTTAAGCTATTTAATTTATAATATTGTCAAAATAGACGGATAACTCATAATAGTCACACCAAAAAAGTAGGGCAAGTCCATCTGCGTCAGGCCATTTTCAAAGCTCTGTAACGTCGGTAATGGACCTTTCAAAGGCCATAGGGATATGATGATTCGGTTATTCTCAGTCACTGTGGAGACATGTGTCAGCCAACCTTGTTACGCTCTGACACAGAGAACCATCTGATCCCAACCCAAAAACCAAGCAGACGATGGACGGACGACACCGGCTTACAAATGACATAAACAGAACTACTCAGCACAATTGATGATAATTAAAAATAATACTAGTCTTTTGCGGGTTTGTTTTTTTTCATGAATATTGCATCCTAAAAACAACGAACATAAATGCAACATTCATCAATCCTCGCGTAGAAAAATGAAATAGTTTGGCAAAAGAAAACCTATCCCCGGAAATAGTAAGGGAGATAACTCCATTTAATGATCTCACTTGTTCAGACGATAGTT